ATTCCAATATAAATAAGAGGAAACACGACTCACCTTTTTTCAGAATATGAAAGTGAAAATTAAAAAAAAAGATTAGACAATGATAATAGTGAGTTGTGCTATTCAATAAATAGGATATCAGTTAAAAGAATTGCATCACCATCAGTCGGTAACTCCAAGCACATCATAATAATAAAAAACACAGGATACAACAACACTAACCTTTTATCCAAAAATGGTTGCATAAAAAAGATGGGAATATTTGACTACATTAATAATTATTTGGTAAAATAAATAATAAGATATTAGTTGAAGGATTTGCATCTGCATCAGTCGGCAACTCTAATCACATCACATTTTCCCTACATATAAGGTGAACCACGACTCAACCTCTATCAGATAATGGAATTCAAGTGAAGAAAATTGTATTTGCTAGGAATACTAATGTAATGTATAAAAATAATTATACATCAAGCAATTACCCCCATATTCACAATCAGAACTAGAGTGCATCTCGACGAAATGTGTGTAGCGACAACCTGCATCGTGGCACATCGTCGCAGCGTCTTTCGTCATAAGCATAAGGATGCTAAAGCAATAATATAGATAACGTGCAATACACCTTAAGGCTAAGGTCGAGCTGGCGTCACCTACGTCTTAACACGTTATCAGGGGCTGGTTCACATAACCCTTTTTCTCAGCCCTACTTCGAGTACTTGTGCCAGATGGTACTGTTAACGAAAATTTGCTGTCACCAAATTAGTCAACTTTCTGTTAATAAAAAGGGAAGTAACAAACGCAGAGCCCAAAACTAAACCTGGGCAGTGAGCATGGGTACGAATAGTTCGGATGGAATATACCCCAGGGAAAGAATGCACTAAGAGTTTAAAAAGCCGAAGTATTGATATGAATGTATCTGGAAATAACAAGCGCCTAGGCTAAATGTGCATATGTAAAAAATCACCTGGATTAGCTTTTATGCCGTAAGCGAGACCGACGATTGAATCTTGGTCGACTTTCGCCTTTATAAACGAGTTTTTGCAGGGCCTGTACATGAGTGCAGCACCATAGGACGTTGCGCTATTTTGCTTAGTCCATCCTAGTTTAAAGCCCACATCAAGATTGTCTATGCTGTGAAAGACATTAAGATCAATATTTGAATGGTTAGTCAGTGAAATGCAGGCGTGTATATCGTCATGCCGACAATTAAAAGCGTATTGATATCGATTAATAATCATCTGGGCTGAATCAAAGACTGCATGCACACCAGCAGAGTAATCCTTGCACTTAAATGGACTGAAGAATAAAAATTACTAAGATTACCATACTACGAGGGAGCCGGTGACAAGGGGGTATTTTGAAGTAAAGCCTAGATCTAAACCCGCATTAACGATATCATGAGAGAACGAGGTCTTGGCCGTCAATGACTTGTTTCTGCAGATGAACGTTAAGCGAAAAAAGTTACCCTGTCTCTTTCTCAAGAACGGAAACCAAATTATGCTTGAGATTTGGATGCAGCTTTCCCTTCGCTTCAAGGTCGAAGGTTGTGACCCAATTGGAGGTTAATTTAACGTTAGCCCGTACGCCAGGCGACAGGATTGTTTTCATTTCTAAGAAGGTTGCAAGTGCATTGGAAATGGGACGCCGGTTTCCATTTATATGGATATCAACATTATTCGATGTCTTAGATTTGAAATCAAAATTCAATAGGCCAAATTTAAAATGCTTTTCGAAAAGATCCCTGGCAGAACTGGAAAGATCGGCATAGCATGGGGGAGGCATGGGTAAAAGGCAGGGAGGGCGACTAGTAGAGGAGAGCGGTATGGGATGAACAAGCTCAGATTAATAAAAATTATAAGCAATTTGTGATCATATGATGTTAAATTCAATTTTATATAGGATTTAATTTATGGTAAAATCTTATTGAAGTCGCTATATTTTTTCCAAATTAAATTTGCCTAATCCTTTGGTGCTAGAAATGACCAATTGATTGGATATAAGCGCAATAAACCTCTAAATATTATTGATTATTATTCGAGTAAGATTCAAAATCTAAAAATAATTTCAATATTAGACAATTTTTTGTAGATGTGCTTGATCAGTTCGATGAAAGCTAAGATAGTGTGGTTTCTATTATGGTACCGATCTCTTATCGTTGTATAGACATAGTTTGTACTGCAGCCGGTTGGATTGTATAGGGTATTCATTTTGACGCAGTCCATGGGACTTCCTCCCTCGTTTCGAGAGAAAACGTGCTAAGCTTTCGTCCGGCTGCAGTAAGACGAGTTTCATCCGTTCTCATCTGGAGACATAGTTTGGCCCTGTTTTCTCAAATTTGTCGTATCATTATCTAGACTTAGGTAGACACCCTTTCCAGAAGTTTTTACCCAGTATTCATAAAAATTTCTAACTTTCGGCCGTAGTCTTGATGCCAAAGCCTCTGTAACAAGGGTATTCTCATAATCTTTAATCTATACACTCCTACACAAAGTCCGTGCTTCTCCGTGCTATCACTATTAACAT